CTCGGCCGGCATACCGTGCCAACACACTTGCCTCCCGCCGACCCAATGATTCCACCCTCCCGGATCCAATGCACGGGCGTTTACTCTCCCTCTCTGTCCAGCCACTGCAGCCCAGACGTAAGAAGAAGAAGAAGAAGAAGGATAGCGGCCTCGAGAGAGAGAGAGAGAGAGAGTGCGAGCGAGGAATATGGTGGGGTTCCCTTTTTATCCCACAGCTTTTATCAGAGCGCACACACGCGGCAGTCTACCTCCTCGACTCTCTATGGAGTATGGATCATTCACATTTACGCCCCACCAGTGGCCCTGGTATTGCTGCTTTTCTTTTTCCTTACCCCTCTCCATGCCCCACTCCGCCACGCCGCCAATTCAACATCTCGCTATTCTAGCTCTCTCTTTGACCGAGAGCGCGGTAGGTTCGCGCACGCTCTCGATTTTCCCATGAACTCCTCGGGTATGTTCGTGGATCGCGGCTACAACGGTGGCCTCTTCTCCCTCTCGATCTCCCTCCCAACATCTCCTGTCCCCTTTTGCATTTGTAATTTTTTCTATTTTTCTATTTTCTTTCCTCTCTTTTCTCTCTCTCACTCTCTTTCTCTCACTCTCACTCTCTTTCTCTCACTCTCTATATATATATATATATATATATATCTTGTAACGTGCGAAACGAGACGAAGACACGGGGCTTCGTATTGACTCTTATAGCTCTTTCGAGGGTCGCGCTACCATCGGCTTTGATTTTTGTGGGGCGTCAGCGTCAGGTAGGACGAGACGGACACCGACTCTCGACCTCGAGAGATAAACTCACGGACAAGGAGAAAGAGAGAATCGCTGATCGTATAAATAAACTCGTCCTCGGTACAATATCCGTTATTTATCGCTTCGAGTCGTCGGAATTTCTCTTTAAAATTCCATTAATCGCCGGTCGATCTTCGTCGTGATAACACGAGCGCGTGGAAATGAGATAGGATTATGATGGCCCACTTGCCGGTATCCTTTATCTTGTCGATGGCGGGCTACTGCGAGGCGGGATATTGTCGACTGCAGCAGGGTATCTCGATAACCCGGGGAATCGAGTCATCGCCCGGAATTATCGTCCGTCCCTTGGCTTTCGCGAATTCCCAAGCACGAAAAATGTGCGCTTCACTCCTATGCTGCTCGCGAGCGCACGACGGATGCGACGCAAAGAAAGAGAGGCGGCGAAAAGAAGAGGGAGTCCGTGAGGCGAGTCGCGCGGACTTTTGCCGGGGAGAAAGTGCCGGGAGAAAGACGGCGAAATATTATTCTTCCACGTTGGTCCTCGCATCGTCCTTTACTTTGCGTTCGCGGGTCGAAGAGGAAGAGTCGACGTGGTGAAAGATGCTCGACAGCAGAACGAGGGGATGGGCAACTGGACACAAATGGAGCATCGGGATAGGCGCGGTGGGGTTGGCGGTGGGTGGTAGTGGCGGAGTAGGATTAAGCGGGAAAACGAAATAGTATTGGAAGCGGGGGAAAGGTTGGCTCTCGGGCCTCGATTTACTCACGAGGTAAGTCGCTGCCAAGCATTCGTAGGCAAATAAAAAGCGGATGGTGATTATGGAGTTGGACCGATTAATGGGGAAAGGG